TTTTGTATACTTTCTCCTAATCAAGTTCTGAGTGTTTCTTAAGTAAGAGTGTTTTCAGTTTTCCAGTTCACTACATTGTCTCTCCTCATCAATTTTCTTATTTGCTTTTTGTGGAACTAGGGATTGAGCCCAGAGGCACTCTTCCACTGAGCCACATCCTCAGCCTTTTTTATTTTGAAATAGGGTTTCACTAAATTGCCAAGCTAGCTTCAAACTTGCCATCCTCCTGTCTCAGTCTCCCCATTCTCTGGGATTAAAGTGTGTACCACCACACCTGGCTTTCTTCACCATTTTTCTAAAAGAGTAAACCATTTTTAAAAATATTTTACAATTACATGTGCATTTATCACCGAAAATTATTTGTAAACCTGTACCCAAATTTATTTGGAAACCTGTTAAATGGCTACATAGTATTTTATCATTTCAAATCATTCCCTTATTATTGGACATACGGGATTTTTAGAAAACTTTCTGCAATTTAAGAATATCTATGTTATGCTTCATTTTGAATAAGAAAGAAGGGGAAATAAAAAATATGTATGTATCTGCTTATGTGTGTGAAAACAGGAAGAAAAGTGAATTCGGGGGAGGGTGCAAAGTGACAGGGAAGGCAGGCATGGTGGATGTTAAGGTTTAGGTCTGAAATGCCCTCTAAGGACTCATGAGTTGACAGTTTGGTCCCTAATGCAGCAATAATCAGAGGTGAGGGTCTCGGGATGTGACTGAATCACGAGGGATCTGACCTCATTAGTGGACTAATCCATAGATCATTTCCATGGTCTCATAGCTGATGGCATTATTGGGAGATGGTGTAAACCGTAAAAAATGGGGTCTAGTGGAGGAAATAGGTTACTGGGGGCATGCCCAGGAAGAAGGACAGTTCTTGTCCCTAGCCCCTTCATCTTTCTGCTTCCCAGCTACCCTGAGGTGAGCAGCTTTGCTCTGCCAAGTTCTTTCACTGGAATCTTTTCTGCCTTGCCTCAGGCCTAGAAACTACAAATAGAATCAGCTGACTATGGACTCAGGTGTCAGAGACTTTGAGTCAAAATAAATCTTTCTTCCTCTACGATGACTTTTCTCCCAAAGGCAAAAAGCTAACTAACATAGGGGAGGAGGGAGTTCAGTCCAGGTCTATGTTCTGTGCAGCCCCAACTGTGCCGCCATGCTAATGGCTGATGTGTTCCAAGGAATTAAGTAGCCAGGTGTGGTGGGACACTCCTGTAAACCCATTATTCCAGAGGCTGAGGAAGGAAGATTGAAAATTCAAGGTCAGCCTATGCAACTTAGTGAGACTTTGTCTTAAAAAAAAAAAAAAAAAAAGAGAGAGAGAAAAAAAAAATATGCTGGAAATGTAGCTCAGTGGTACAGCACTTTGCCTAGCACATGGTGCAAGGCCCTGGGTTCAATTCCCAGTACCAAAAAAACAAAAAAAACAAAAAAACAAACCAAAACAAAACAACAAAACAAAAAACTCCAAAACAATGAACCCAAATAACTTTGAATACAGTATTTTCACTATAAATTCTTAAGCTAAAGACAGCACTATGAAACAATATTGAAGTCTAATTAGTAGATCTATATTCATAATGATGAAAAACATGGATTAACAATTCTAGGGGCTGGGGTTGTGGCTCAGTGGTAGGAATGCTTGCTTAGCAAGTGTGAGGCCCTGGGTTTGACTCTTAGCACCACATACAAAATAAATAAATAAAATAAAGTTATAAAAGATATATATTTTTTTAAAAAATAACAATTCTAAAACTACTTACTACAATTCTAGGATTGAGCAAACAAATATATTGTGGACCTGTCTTTATTGCTTTTAGAAAAGGAAGCTACGAGTACAGAAAAGAAAGAGGCTTGAGTGAATCCAGTAGTTGTAGGATATAATTAGAAGTATCAACATAAACTCATAGCTAATAATTATACATTGATAAATACATATGAATATTGAGTATTGCATATGTACAAATAAACGTATTTACCAGTTGAGATGACCTCAGTAGCTTTGAACTTACAGAGTGCTCAGACCTTGCTTTCTAAATATTATTCTCCAGAAGGAGGAGTAAATCTCCTTATAGAAATTGTTGATTCTAGGAAAGGGTCACAGAATTTAAAAGATGAATATGGAACATCTTTTTCTTTTTTTAAATTTTTTATTTTGAGACAGGGTCTTGCTAAGTTGCTAAGGCTGGTCTCAAATTTGCAATCCTCCTGCCTCAGCTTTCCAAGTCGTTGGGATTGCAGGCAAGTACCACCATGCCCAGATAACAGGGAACATTTTGTTTTGCCAGAAATCAAAGTAAGTGCTCAAAGCACCACAGAAACATGTCAGAAAGATCAGCAGCCAATTTGGAGGGGTGCCCATTGGCCAAATTTGGGTTGATTTGAGCCTCAAAATAAATGATTACAACAGTTTATAACTCACTGAGTAAAATCCATGAGTAAGAATCTATGTGCTCAACTGATATAAACAAACAAACATGTAAAGGGAAGAGAAGGAAAAATCTCTTCCTTAGAGTAGAATAGTGATGATATTAACTCTGCCTATCCAAAAGCAAGGTACATCTTTCCATCTTCTAAGGTCTTCTTTGATTTCTTTCTTTAGGGTTCTGTAGTTTTCATTGTATAGATCTTTCACCTCTTTCATTAAGTTGATTCCTAAGTATTTTTTTTTTTTTTTGAGCTATTGCAAATGGGGTAGTTTTCCTCATTTCCCTCTCAGAGGATTTTTCACTGTATACAGAAATGCCTTTGATTTATGGGTGTTGATTTTATATCCTGCTACTTTGCTGAATTCATTTACTAGTTCTAGAAGTTTTCTGGTGGAACTTTTTAATTCTGATCAAAATCCCAATGGCATTCCTCATAGAAATAGAAAAAACAATCATGAAATTCATCTGGAAAAATAAGAGACCCAGAATAGCTAAACCAATCCATAGCAAGAAGAGTGAAGCGGTGGCATCACTATGCCAGACCTTAAACTATACTACAGAGCAATAGTAACAAAAACAGCATGGTATTGGCACCAAAACAGACTGGTAGATGGATGATACAGAATAGAGGACACAGAGACTAACCTACAAAATTATAATTATCTTATATTAGATAAAGGTGACAAAAACATGCATTGGAGAAAAGATAGCCTTCAACAAATGGTGCTAGAAAAACTGGAAATCCATATGCAACAAAATGAAATTAAACCCCTATCTTTCACCATGCACAAAACTCAACTCAAAGTGGATCAAGAACCTAGGAATTAAACCAGAGATTCTGCGTCTAATAGAAGAAAAAGTAGGCCCTAATCTTTATCCTGTGGGATTAGGCCCCAACTTCCTTAATAAGACTCCTATAGCACAAGAATTAAAACCAAGAATCAATAAATGGGATGGATTCAAAGTATAAAGTTTCTTCTCAGCAAAAGAAACAATCTGTGAGGTGAATAGAGAGCCTACATCTTGGGAGCAAATTTTTACCCCTCACACATCAGATACAGCACTAATCTCTAGGGTATATAAAGAACTCAAAAAGCTAAGCACCAAAAAAACAAATAATCCAGTTAATAAATGGGCCAAGGACCTGAACAGACACTTCTCAGAAGAGGATATACAATCAATCAAGAAATATATGAAAAAATGATCATCATCTCTAGCAATTAGGGAAATGCAAATCAAAACTACTCTAAGATACCATCTCACTCCAGTCAGAATGGCAGCTATTATGAAGACAAACAATAATATGTGTTGGCAAGGATGTGGGGGAAAAGGCATACTCATACATTGCTGGTGGGACTGCAAATTGGTGAAGCCAATATGGAAAGCAGTATGGAGATTCCTTGGAAACTGGGAATGGAACCACCATTTGACCCAGCTATCCCTCTCCTCGCACTATACTCAAAGGACTTAAAACCAGCATATTACAGGGACACAGCCACATCAACGTTTATAGCAGCACTATTGGGAACTATTGGGATTGGCTAACTTCACTTATCATTATCTTCTCCAGTGCCATCCATTTACCTGCAAATGCCATGATTTTATTCTCTTTTACTGCTGAATAATATCCATTCATTATATATAAAATTCTTGAAATTTCTGAATGTGGAAGAGAAAGGCAGTGGAAATGGAGAACTGAGGAGGGTAGAAGTGGGGTATAGAAAAGGGCCTCCTAGCTGGGAAGGAGAGGAGCTGGAAATACAGAATATGCTCCAAATGAGTGGGAACCGAAAGCAGAGGAGTAAAAGGGTCAGTTAATGACAATGAAGGACTGAAGCTGATGATCAGTCCCTTTTAAGAAACTTAATCCTTGTGCGGTGTCACCAATTACCATAGTAATTTACCTGCACAATGGCATGGTAAGAGCAGGCTCAGGTACCTGGTCAAATGAGAATGCCCAGATTCTCTCCCTCTAAATGCTTCCCTCTAGTGTGGGGCCACTGTTGAGTCCTACTGAATCCCTGAGCCTTTCTGGTTGGCATCCAAGAAGCAGCTAAAACATTCCACCTAGTTCACTGTCAAAGACTGAGTGGCCTGCTATGTGATATATATAAATAATCTAAAATAATCTTTCTTCTTAAATGCCCATAATGCATTTCATCAAGTACGTACAAATATAAATACTGGCCCCTGCTGAGTACTTGCTATCTGCCAAGACTATGCAAATGGTTTGTGGGGATTATCTCATTGAATCCTGCCAATAACACCATGGGATGGTAATGTGGTTATATGCCCATTTCACTGAAGAAGAAAGTTAATTAACTGGCTCCACATCAGAAAATCTAGATTCAGATGCCAGAGTCTGTCTCCAGAAACTCTAAACCAAAATGTTATGCTGGATAAAATATTTTAATCATGAAGATAAAACACAATTGATCATAAACCGAGCATTTTAAGTTAACAAATTGGGAGCCTAAGATAAAAATTATATTTGAGTATGCATTCTATTCTTCCATTCTATAATCTGTCAGACATTTATTTGAAGGAAAAAAAAAAAAGCATTACCTGACAGAAGAACTGTTGCTGGGTTCCTGTTCCAGGTGTGTTACTGAAGGTGCTGGTAGATTTGGAAGAAGAAACTGGAAGACGATGAGACACGCTGACTGGTATTGGAGTCCTGTTTGGCTGGGTCAGCGGGTCTCCCGTAAAGTTTGATCCTGATGCACCAGATTGAACCACAGACCCAAGGCTAGGATGGGCAGTGTTGCCTGAACTAACAGCAGGGAACCGACTAGGTCCTGACATGCTTGTTGCAGAGGGCATGGTAGTGAAGCCTGGTCTTCCTTGGGAAACGCTGCTCTGCCCAGGTGACAGGTGTAATACAGTTGGTGACGCTTGCTGCAAGGGCATCTGCCCACCAACAATCTGAGGAGAGGCATGATTGACTATTACTGGACTTCCAGAGGTGGCGAATGTTTGCCCCGACACTAACTGGACGGCAGTATTCTGGTTGTTTATCATCTGTCCAGAATATGGTTGGTTGGTCCTGAGCATGTTGGAAGAATTCCTATTCAACATGACATGCTCCGAGGCCACTTGGCCAGAAATGAGCTGAGAAGGTTGAGTCTGAAGAAGTTGCCCATTAATGGTCTGGACATGGTGTACCGAGTTGGAACTGACGGAAAGGCTTGTAGGTATGAGGAACTGATTTTGGGGTGTATGAGGCTGGCCCATGGGGGAATGAATAACGATACTACCCCCAGTGCTGCTCACTGCCTGTGAGGTGACGGGCTTTCTTGTGTTCTGTTGGTTGACAATGTTCACAGACATGTGTGGACCAACTACTGAGCCCTGGGGTGAGCTTGCAGAGGCAAAAGAGATCCCTTGTTGTACGTGATGCTGCTGAATTCCCAAATTGTTCACATTGTATGTATTTTGCTGACCCATCTGGATAGGCTTTGGCTGTATATTAATTGGGACTTTATTTGAGTTTGGTGCAAGACCCCTTTGTATGATGATGTTATGCACAGGTAAAGATGTTTGAAAATTTGTGCTGTTAAATGGAACGGTAACGGGCTGTGCTACTGGACTGGAACTGGAGTTACCAAACAAAGAGTTGCCATTAGGAGTCTGTCTATGAACCAGAAGCCCTCCACTCACATTTGATGGGGCTTGCTGTCCGCTGCCCTTTAATATAATTTGAGATCCATCTAGATTATTAATAGTCATCATGGAAGGTTGATTACCAAATGACCCAATTAATTGTATTTGACCAGAACCACTAATCTGACTGCTATTTGACAAATGCTGGCTGGGAACACTGATCCCCACGTGTTGCATAAAGCCATGTTGCACACCTACTGTATTGCTTGCAAATGATGCACCAACAGGCACGTGAGTCACCCCTATAGGCTGCAGCGTCTGACCTGAGTAATTAGAAACATTAGAAGCCTGAGTAAAGGATGCTGATGAAGAAGGATGAAGCTGAGCTTGTGCAAACTGTTGGCTTGAACCTATACTGGCATCTAAATATGCCTCTTCTGCCAATGTCTGTTCAGTGATATTAGCCTCCTGCAAGGATTTCTGAAGAATGTCAAAAGGTTGGTCCTCACTGAGATCAGGAAGAGGAGAAGACTCAAGTTCATCTTCAAGAAACTGAAGGCTACTTGAAAGTGGCAGTCCATCACTGGGCCCTTCTCCAAGCTGGTTGCTTACACCTTTGAGGGATGATTTAGGATCAGCATTCTGAAAAAATAAGAAGGTATTATATGGCATATCCAGCCTTTGAAAGAAATGCACAAAAATTAATCTCACTTTTGAATACAAATAAAGCATAACAATCTATTTTTCAGGTACAAGTCTTTAAACTACTCACTTTGTTTTCTAAACACTGTAAGTCTATACTTTCATTGCTCTGGTAAATTATTTTGTAGGGAACAGATAAATAACATGAGTGCTGAATAATACCTGTAGTTCAGCTCCATGATTTTGAGATACTGACATAGACTTTAGTTATTTTTATTTTTATTTTTTTGGAGCTGGGGATAGAACCCAGGCCTTGTGCATGCTAAGTACATGCTCTACCACTGAGCTACACTCCAAGCACCTAAGATTTTATTTTTTTAAAGTGGCTTCCAGGGGCTGGGGTGTGGCTCAGTGGTAGAGCGTTTATCTAGCATGTGTGAGGCACTAGGTTCGATTCTCAGCACCACATATAAATAAAGTGGCTTCCAGTCCAAGGGAGTGGGACTCAAATCTAGAGTTGTTATGTATTAGGAGACAGTTTTTCTTTCTAGTCCTTTGTACCCCAGAAGTCCAAGTGAAGGATGTTATTCTACAAGGGGTCTACAAGGTGTGCCAGCAAGAGCAGTCCAGATAAAACAAGGTTCTAACAAAATGAGTGAATGGTCATTGATTTTTTTTTTTCCCTCCTTGGTGGTACTGGTGATTGAACCCAGAGGCATTCTTCTACTGAACTGCATCCCTGACACTTTTTAAATTTTTGTTGAGATAGGTTTGCAAAGGCTATCCTCAAACTTGTGATCCTTCTACCTTAGCCTCCTGAGCAGCTGGGATTACAGGTGTGCACCATACCTAGCCATTTAATTTCTTCAAAGTAATCAACATATTAACATGTTTTTAAAACCACTAATGTTTTTAACAACATTTCTTTAACATTTTATTGGGGCTGGAGTTGTGGCTCAGTGGTAGAGCACTTGCCTAGCATGTGTGAGGCCCTGGGTTCGATTCTCAGCACCGCATTTAAATAAATGACTAAAGATCCATCAACATCTAAAAAAAATATATTTAAAAAAAAGTAAAACATTTTATTTAAGTAAAACATTTACTAAGCTCACTTGTAGGTTAGTTTCTGTCCTCAAGGAGCTATTAGGAAATAGGCATTTCAACTAGAGATAATAGCACATGGTAAGAAGAGAACTGAACACAGTGATAAATAAGACACACTCCACTGTCTAGTAGTCTTTTATGGAACATGCCAAATATTGTAAAAGGAAATAATAAAGAAGCAACAGCCATTTAAAATAAAGTGAAGACAATATGGGTATACACACTACTGAACCGTACACTTGAAAATAGTTTTTTTTTTTTTTTTTTGGTACCAGGGATTGAACCCAGAGGTACTTAACCACTGAGCCACATCTCCAGCCAATTTTTTTTTTTATTTTAATTAGAGACAGGGTCTTGCTGAGTTGCTTAGGACCTCACTAAGTTGCTAAGGCAAGCTTTGAACTTACAATCTTCCTGCCTCAGCCTTCCGAGCCACTGGGATTACAGGTACATGCCTTTGTACCCGGCAAGATGTTTTTGTTTTGCTTTTTATAGTGCTGGGGATCGAACCTAGGGCCTCATGTATGTTAGGCAAGTGCTCTTCAACTAAGCTATGTCATGCCTAGCACCAAGATGACAAATTCTGTTGTATGTATTTACTACAATTAGAGAGAGAGAGAGAGAGAGATTGAAAAAGAAAGGGGGGGAGGTAAAGAGAAAAGTTAAAAACAGAGTATTCAAGAATGAGTATGCCAATTTGCCTTAAACTAAGGTGGTGTTAGGTGCTAAATTATGAGAAGACCTAGATAGAAAAGCTGACTGATTCATTTCATATCCAATTAACAATTGAAATAGGACTAACATATCCACCAGGTCAGGTGGACATCATCTTTGGACTTGGAGAATCATTTGAAAGGAAGTGGGGAAAGCAAGAAAATTTCTGGGTTTGGTGGCACATGTCCATAATCCCAGCTACTTGGGAGGTTGAGGTAGGAGGATCACAAATTTGAGGCCAGCCTGGGCCATTTAGCTAGACCCTACAATCTCGACATAGTAACTATGTATAGTACAAACATGGTAATCTTTTTTTTTTTTTTAATGGTGTTGGGGATTAAACCACTGAGCTACACTACATCCTCTGTCCTTATTAAGTTTTAAAAATTTTTGAGACAGGGTCTTGCTAAGTTGCAGAGGCTGGCCTTGAATTTATGACTCTCTTGCCTCAGCCTCCTGAGTTGCTGGAATTACAGGTGTGCACCTTCAGCCTTCCAAGTAGCTGGAATAACAGGTGTAAACCACCACTCCTGGCTCAAACACAGTAATCTTTTTTTTTTTTTGGTACCAGGGATTGCACCTAGAGGGGCTTAACCACTGAGCCACATCCCCAGTCCTTTTTATATTTTATTTAGAGACAAGGTCCTGATAAATTGCTTAGGGCCTTGCTAAATTGCTGAGGCTGGCTTTGAACTTATGATCCTCCTGCCTCAGCCTCCCAAGTTGCTGGGATTATAGGCATGTATCACCAATGCCTGGCTCATATACCTTGTAATCTGTGACTAAAAGTAAAAAATATGTCAACATAATTCAATAGATTTTCTTCCCATATAAATTACAAAAGACAAAGATTCTGATCATGATACAAAGACAATTAAAACTTCAATTAATGGTGCCTGCCTATAGTCCCAGCTACTCACAAGGCTGAGGAAGGAGGATGACTTGAGACCAGGAGTTTGAGACCAGCCTGGGCAACACAGTGAGACCTCTGTCTCAAACAAAAACAAACAGGGGCTGGGGATGTAGCTTAGTAGTACTTTCCTACAATGTGTAAGAGTTTGATCACCAGCACCACAAAAAAACAGACAAAAAAGCCTCCCCCCCACACACAACAAATAAATCTTCAATTCACAAGGCATCCTTGAAACAAAAGTACTTGAGCGTTACATTTTGTTTCCAATACTCACAGTAGAGTTGGCGAAAATTGAATTTGAATTGGCTGCAGAATATCCTGCATTAGTCAAGTCATCGTTACTCTGCAAAGAGGAAATTCAATAAAGAAGTTGCTTCAACTGTGAGAAGGAACAGATTTTTATGTCTATGATGTTCTAGGTAATACTTACAGATTTATTACTAGGTCCATGTAGAAAATAGTTCAATGCTTGTGGGTCTCTAGAAAAGAAAAAAAGAAAGAGGGGAACAACAAATAAACAATTATCTTCACTTAATTAAATATAATGAGTATATAGCTATATATTTACTAGGGCAAAAAGAAAATGACATTAGCCTGAGAAAATCTCCTTATTTTAAGGCCATTTTCTTAGTAATTCTTTGTTTTGTTTATTGGCACCAGGAATTGGACCCTAGGGTGCTTTACCATCGAGCTACATCTGCAGCTCTTTTTACTTCTTTTTCTTCTTCTTTTTTTTTTTTTTTTTTTTTTGAGACACTAAGTTGCTGAAGCTCTTGCTAAATTGCCAAAGCTGGCCTTGAAGTTGCAATCCTCCTGCCTCAGCCTTTTGCATTGCTGGGATTAAAGGTGTGTGACAACACTCCTGGCTAATTTTTTTTATTTACGTTGTTCCAGTTCCAATTATCATTCCTTTCTGCCTCCTAGGATTTTCTTTTCTTTTTTATAGTACTGGGGATCGAACCCTGGGACCTGTGCATGCTCAACATGCGCTCTACCACTGAGCTACACCTGCAGCCTTTCCTCCTGGGATTTGTTAAAAAAAAAGTTTAGTAAGCAATTACTAAATTATGACCCCCATGTTGATATATCTCTTTCTCTTCCTGCTATAACTATGATGATCATTTAATTTTTATTAAAAAATTGAGCAGGTTTCAATATACTTTTAGGCTGTTTTTGTTCAGTAAATGCCACACATTTAATTCATCCTGAGTTTAAAATAAGCACCTTACCCAATAAGATCAAGGAGACACGAGTCATCATCATCATCCATGACAACTGTAAAGACAGGAAGAGGAAAGCATGTTTCAGTCAAGCAGATTGAAAAGCCAGTGGTATCAGTGCAATGTAAGAACATACCTTACGCTTTTTTAGATAAATAACTGTGTAATTCATGAGATAGCCCTCTAATTGCTTATTATTAATGAGATTTAAAATTTTTTTGTGGTCTCTGGACATGGTGGTGCATACCTGTAGTACCATCTACTTGGGAGACTGAGGCAGGAGGATCACTTGAGCCCAGGAGATTGAGCCCAGAAATTTGAGGTCAGCCTGTGTAATACAGCAAGACCATGTCTCAAAATAAATAAATAAATAATAATAGTAAGTAAAATAAAATTATGTGGCCATTCAAGAAAATATTGTTTAAATTGTGTTTATTGAAAACAAACCCTCAACTTATAAGTCAAGAAAGATTGTGAAAAAAACAAAGATAGTTGGCAGCAACTTCTCCCTCATGCAAATTCCCCAAAGGGACTATAAACGAAGAACAGTTCATTTTCTCAAATGTAGAATGAACAGGAGAGAAATAGCATTTTTGTTTTAGAAAAGACCTCATAGATTCAGAAGTTTTTCATTTGGTGACTGGATGTTTCTAAACATGGAGAGCAATCTGGATTTCTTGCCATATTTTGGCTATCTTTAGGAATAAAAAAAGTGGGTTCTCTGCATTTTAAGACAGAAGAGGAGGCCCTCTGGCCGCAGGCTTTGCTATGGGCTCTGGCCTGCAGGGCTGGGGTTCTTTCCCCTGCAGAGGCACTGCCACTCTTTGATTCCAAACAATCCATATCCCAATACTAGAATGTTTAAAGTAGAAAATCTTAACCAGAAGTTCAACCCCACTCCAGGATCTGACTCCCTCTCTCCCCCACCAGCGGCAGCTTCAGGCTCAGCCAGCACGACTGTGCTCTGGCTGAAACCATAACAACTGTACAAATTCCAAGAGCAGTTCTCTCCCGAGATCTAGTCAACTTACACTAGTGATCCGACACCTGGCAACACTGCTTCGCACCCATTTTGAACCATGCGTGGAATAATTTACATCACGGAATGCCAGGGCCAAGGGTTCTGGAGCAGTTGGAAAGGGCAGTTGTGAACGGCAGTTGGATGGAGGAATGAAATCCTGAAGAGATGCCCAGAAGAGGGACACGCCCGAAGAAGGCAGAAGAGATAGTCTCTACTAAATGTTTTTTTCACTGTTGAAATTGCCATCTCCTCTCCAGTTCCCCCCAATTTGCCATTCTGTCAGTCACAAGGCCAAACAAATACAAAATTCATTCCTGTCACATGGAAGGGCACTCAGGAAGAGTCTGGAAGGGTAAGTCCTCCCAATGTGGAACCTTCCCATTGGTGGATGAATCTGTGCAGTTGTTGGGTGATCTGGGTGATTACAATCCATCTGAGATAGAACGCAGTGGAGAGCAGAAATGATGGGTGAGAAAGGAGGAAGAAAAAGTGGGAAAAGTTTGCCAAAAGGTGACATCTATAGCTGAAACTAAGAAGAGCAGCCAGCTAAGTGAAATCTGCTCTTTAGGACCCAGACCAAGTTATTCACAGGCATGCTGGCATGAATGTACTAGCACAGCGTGAGTTTTGAGCAGTGAAATGGGACTGGAAGGGAAATCAGGAAAGCTATCATCAAATGGATATAGAAAAATCTGTGTGAAGTGCTCCCCTTAAATCCTGAAGATATTTACTGTGGTAGAACCACGTTAGCTAGAGTTTAGTATTACTATCCCAGGGGCCTGCTCTGCAGACATCACAATCGCATGGAATAAATCAGTCAATTGTGATGTCTAGTTAAACTATAAAGTGGATATTATTTCTTTACTTCATCGTGAACATTAAAAAGGAGTTCTAGTGTATCCTTCCTAAGTTTATTTTTTTAAATGTCTGGGCTGGGGATTTAGTTTAGCAGTATGGCACATCTGAACATGTGGGAGGCCCTGGGGTTTGATCCCCAGTTCCATAAAAAAATAAACAAACAAATAAAATACCTAACAGTCTCTGATACAAACTAATTAATAAAAAAAAAAAACATAAGTAAAAAAAGAGCCTACACCAAAGAAAATCACTTGTACAACTCTTTCAGCTTCCCTCCATACTTGGTGCCCTTTCCCTATTTCTGATACTCCAAGAAAGGAGGTCAGCAAAGGCCACAGAGGCGTCACTGCCACGAGGACTTGCAAGCGTACAGAATGTTTGCTGTGCCAAAATTCAAAGTGAAAGCTACTCCTTAAATAATCTAAATAAAATAATTTTATAATATTGGATTAAATTAAAGCCACACGCATCATTCTCTATCAAACCAAGGAGGCTGCTCAAACACTTGACTTAAAAGAGCCTCCCTGAGGATATCCAGCCTATGAGTGCATTGGGGACCCTACCAGGCAGGCGGCTTCCTCAGTCCCCTGCAGACAGAACTCTTAAGAGTCTTCACAGTCAAGGGCACCCTGAGAATTCTACTTTTTAAAGGACCACACTCTTTTCTGGCTTTAAACAGTTTCAAATTACAAGAGATGGACCTTACCCCTGCATCCCTGGCTTTAAATTGTGCTGAAATGCAGTCTAATCCTTTCCCCAGAATGATATATGGCTCATTAAAGTAAAATTATAAAATCTGACTACAGTTCTAGCTGGGTGCAGTGGTGTATGCCTATAATCCCAGCAGCTTGGAAGGCTGAGAAAGGAGGATCACGAGTTCAAAGCCAGCCTCAGCAAAAATGAGGCGTTAAGCAACTCAATGAGACCCCGTCTCTAAATAAAATACAATGAGCTGGGGATGTGGCTTAGTGGTCAAGTGCCCTTATATTAGTTCAATCCTAGGTATCACCAAAAAAAAAAAAGACTACAATTCTAAAATGGAAAGACAATTCCAGGATCAGACTAAAAAAGGAAGAGTTTCTTTGGATTCTCAATTCTGAATTCTAATTAAGGCTCTATTTTTTTTTTTTTCATTCAAGTAATAAGCCTGGAGTCACTGGATAGATGTATGACACCAGGTGAGTTTTCTACAGCTGTGTGAAAGATGGTCCTTGTCCAAGGGGAGACTCCCTAGATCAATGGTTGGAAACTATTTCTTGGCAACAGCTATTACCAAGCCACAGTCACTCAGAAACAGCAGCTCTTGACAGCAAGGTTTGTAAGGGAGGGAAGGGGAATAGGTCACCCCGCAAGTTCAGAATCACTACCATGGACACTGGAAACACCCTTGAATATATTAAAACTAATATTTAAAATTATTCTTAATAGAATCAATAAATATCTTGAATAATAGCTTTTAATCAAGAGGATACAGTGTAAAAGTGATGTTTCAAAACAGTGGAGAAATGGCAATCATATGGAAAATATGTGGACCCATACCTCACACCTTACACAAAAATAAATTCCAAATGGATCTAAGAGTTAAATGAGGGAGTGAAGGAGAAAGAAGCTTAAAGTGCTAAAATAACACATGGGAGAATTAAAGAAAAAAATCTTGGCACAGGGAAGTCCAAGTATGTCACATAATACAGAAGTCACAAAAAATTGACAAATTTCATGCCAAAAATTTTAAAATTCTGCACAATAGTCTGGCATAGTGATGCATACCTGCAATCCCAGTGACTTGGAAGGCTGAGGCAGAAGGATTCCAAGTTCAAGGCCAGCCTCTGCAACTTAGTGAGACCCAGTCTCAAAACTAAAAAATATAGGGGGCTGGGGTACAGCTCAGTGGCAGAGCACTTCTGGATTCAATCCCCAGAACTGCAAAAACAAAACAAAGCAAAACAAAGAATACTCTGTATCAGCCTTTTTTTTTTTTTTAAGCTGGGGATTGAACACAAGAGTGCTTTACCACTGAACTATATCCTGGTTCTTTCTTTTTAATATTTTTTAGTTATAGTTGGACACAATACCTTTATCTTATTTATTTATTTTTATGTGGTGCTGAGGATAGAACCCAGGGCCTTTCATGTGCTAGGCAAGCACTCTACCGCTGAGCCACAACACCAGCACCCCCCCACCTCCCCCCACCCCATTCTTTTTATTTTAAGACAGGTTCTCACTAAGTTGCTGAGTGTCTCACTATGTTGCTAAGGCTGACATCAAACTTGCAATCCTCCTGTTCAGTCTCCCAAGTCACTGGGATTACAGGAATACACCAATGCGCATGGTTACATCAGCTTTGTAAGGAAATATCTTAAAAACAATTTGATTTTCGTTAGGGTCAGGAAGAATATCAAAGAGTTCTCACGCAGAGATATGAAGAAAAATGACAGACTATTTAAATTCTTTTCACATGAAGGAAAGCTCTAGTAACAAGAAACCTATTGGTATCAGGAAGATGTATTTCAGCAAAGCCAGCTGAGCTCTGGTTCTTTAAGACGCTCTAAGATAGTGGCAATGGGAAAAAACTAAGCTTGACTTTTGAGAGACAGAAAACAGGATTTCAAATCCTTCACAAACTGAACTTTGGCATGTGAGCACTAGTTGTGTTTTCTTGACTTCTTATTCTTCCAAAAATATGGCATACTGAAGATGTTGGCCAAGAAACTGAATTTTAAAAGGCTATCAAGGACTTACTAAAGTATGAAAAATGACTGACATTTTCTTTATATGAATTAATTATGGTACAGCATCACTACATGACATAATTTCCCAGTCACTTACAAATTCACCTCTAAAAGGTGTTCAAGGGTAGCACAGAATCACATTTGGACTTTAAGGAATCATGAACTAGGAATGATTGCAGTCTTCAGAATGTTTTTTTCGAGCTATAGTCATTTTTATTTTTATCCACATACATACCATTTCTAGTGTTCTTTATTTCTTTGAGTAAACTCAGGTTTCATCTGGCATTATTTTCCTTCTCCTAAAGGATTTTCTTTATTATTATTATTATCATTATTATTTTGGACCGGAAATTGAACTCGGGGGTACTTGACTACTGAGCCACATCCCCAGTCCTATTTTGTATTTTATTTAGAGACAGAGTCTCACTGAGTTGCTTAGCAACTCAC